CTCCCCCCTTTTCCTCTTCCGGTGGGTCTTCAGGGGGGTGGCATCCTCCTCTGGAGGCTCGGGAACCTCGAGCTCAGCAACATTGTAGCGATGCTTAAGCTGACGCCACAAGTTTCTCCCTATAATGCCTGTAGAAAAGAAAGCAAAGCACATCAATAAGAGGCAACCACACAAGCCCCAATAACTTACCAGAACGCGTAATACTCACTCTCTAGGCCCCTCTCCCTGTAAGGCGAATTTGCAAGCGACAAAACAAGCTTGCAATCCAACGGACGAGGGAGCGCGGCAAGATCTTTAATGGCGGCCGCCTCCGTGGCCGTCACCTTCAGATCTCCCAAACCGTGAAACCTAGACGGCTTTGGGACACCAATAGAACGGAAACCTCGGCGAACCGCCAAAGTAGAACACCTCATCTTTCAAAGGGTCAACACCCACAAGGGCGACCCGAAAAAACACGGACTTCAAATTTTTATACGATTGGGAGTAGGGAGTAAACAAACCCCCATCCCTACTCCCGCTCAAAGACAGAATACCGTAAGGCGGAGCGCCCATCTTCAACTGATAAAAATGAAGAAAGACGCGAAGGGACACCTCTATACCCAGAACTGTACACAGGACCTGAAAAGCCCTCAAAAAACCCCAACTATTGGGATGCAACTGGCAAGGAGCCGCGTTGATGAAATTCAAAAAATCGCACTCAAACTGGGGCCCCTAGGCGGCGGCAGGTCTTTCTTCTCAACAATGACCCTTCCGGCGGCCACCGCCTTGCCACGCGCCTTGCCCCCGGCAGACGCAGAAGATCCGGCACCACTTCCACCAGCCATAAAGAAAAAAGAGAGGAACACCCAGAAAGGTTCCGAGAAAAAGAGAGAAGAAACGAATAAAAAGGAAGTACCTGGTACTCCTCCTCAGAAAATAACCCTAACGAGAAAGGGGTTACCGGAAGCACAAAGGAGAAAGGTGATGAAAGGAAGCAAGAAACCAAGAAAAACTCTCTTGTACTCGAGAAATCAGAAGGAAAGCAAAGAGTAAAGACGAAAAGGCATGAACAAAAGAAAAGAAAAAGCTTTCCCCCAAAATTCAAAACTGACGCGGCACGTGTCGGTCGAAGGGCACACCTAACGACACATTTATTACAAAACCATCATTACACAACCGTCACTGCCCTTAATGCGTCACTCAAACGTCTTCAGGACGCAAACAATTGCGACACGTGGCAGACCTTCGGTTAGCGTATGTGCAAAAGCCACTCCCCCCTTAGCGAGCCCGGTCTTAGCTCCTCGGCCTACGGCCTTCAGAGCTCGGGGGGCTAGTGTACTACCCTTACTTTGCACCCGGGCTCCGCGCCCGGATTAGCAATACAAAACAACCCCGGGCACACGCTACGTGACGTCAGCCCGGTATTTGAGCAAATCACACCCGAACCCGAGGATCTCGCCCCAGACCAGATCCGCCCTTCAACTATATCATATCATATTGCAATATATTATACGATAACATATCTTATCTCAGGCCCAAGGCAAACCTAAACCACCCTAAGGTACGTACATTATATATATGAGACTATTATTCATGCAAACCCTAATTTTGGCATCGGAGTCCCTTTTGCAGGTACCTCCCCCATCTTGGAGCACCAATACGTCAAGCAAAGGAGGCTCACTGATCTTACTGGACGGATCACTCCTACGGTCAAATTCCGGTAAGAACACTTGTATATTAGAAAAAAAAAGGTGAAAATAATATATATTTTATAATTATAAATCTGGAATAATTTAATTATTTTTTATTTAAAAATTCGTAAAAATAAAAAATTAGAATTTTGTCATTTGCATTTATTTAAACTTCTTTTAATTTTTATAATTAGTTTAAAAAATATTTATGATAATTTATAATATATAATTTTTATAATAATATATGAAAGTAAAAACACTCGTTAATAAATTAATAAAGATGTGACTCTAATATAGCAGATCAATATCTGTGAATGCAAGTAATGTAAAAATAATATATATATATATATATATGTATGGTTAATGTTGGAGAATTTATGGCACTTGATTATTATTTTGGATTTAAGTGTTACATGTATAATTTTAATAAATATTATAAAAAAATCATTATTTATAATATTTTTTATTAATTAAAAAATTAGTTAAAGGATTATAAGTATTAGAATTAAAGTTAAATTTATAAAATCATCTAGTAATCGAATATAAGGTTTTAGTAATTGATTACAAGTTTCACAATCTAAACAACTATTTATTCTTTTCGTTTTTCCTCGTGTAACCGTTTCGAATAAATTGTTTTAATTTTCAAATTATATTTATGCATTACAGTTTCGGAGTCTATTGTCCTTTTCTTTTTGGTGGAGTATATCACACTGAACTCAGCCCGTACGTATTCGGTAGTTTGGTCCAATCAACATTATTTTTTTGTCTTAATTTTTGGATGATTTAATTATCAAAAGGTTTGATCTTTTTTTTTTTTTTTTTTTTTTTGGAAAAATAACGCAAACAAATATAAGTTTAGTTTTTTTTGAAAATTTTTACTTAAGTAGTGTTATGAGAGAAATAAATTTTAAAATATATTTTTCATTTAATTATTTATAAAAATACTTTTATATTCAAATATTTACTAAAAATATACTTTCAATTAAAATATATTTTAAAAATTTTGTTAATTCATTATCATTCATTCACTTGATTAAAAAATGATAAAATATAATTAATTTTCAATTAATTTAATAAAATAAAAATTCTAAAATAAATTATATTATGATTTTAATTATGAATCTATTTTAAATTTATTAGTTTGATGTTTAATGATGTTTGATATTATTGTGATAAAAATTGATATTCTTTCATATTTATATATATATTGTTAAATAAGTACTGAACTGATAAGGTAGCTCAGAAGGCTGGAGAAGGAGTGTTAAGGTTAGAATGAGTAGAAGGTAAGGGGTTCGAATCTTACCACTGCCAATTATCTGAAAATTAATAATTAATACTTGTTGAGTAGAAAAAAAAATGAAATAATATATATTGTATAATTAATAAATCTGAAATAATTTAATTGTTTTTTATTTAAAAATAAAAAATTAGGATTTTGTGACGGATTTTGAATCCCTCACAATTTGTGACGGATTTTGAATCCAGTTTGTGACGAATGCGTTCCCTCATAAGTTGCGACGTAAAATTTATTAGTTAGTGACGACATATTTCCGTCACTAATTGTGACGGATGAATTTTTCCGTCACAAAATATTTTGTGACGCCATTTTTTGTGACGACCCAAAATCCGTCACAAATTCCGTCACTAATTATTTTGTGACGGATTTTCTTTAATTTTGTGACGGATTCTTTCCGTCTCTAATTTCCATTTTTCTAGTAGTGAATGATAAATTAGAAAATGAAGTCTATTAATAGAACAAATTGTCAAGCAAGGCTTTGTCTAAAAAAAAAAAAGAACAGGAAAGTGGAACGTTACTACTTTTAAGAACAAAGTCAACCATGGGATCGATGATTGGATTGCGGTATGTGCACTTGATTCAAGCTCAGATAAATGAAGGGGATAAAGCACAAGTGGATAGTTTGCATATGATTGGTGTTAAAACTAGTGACATAATGGGTTTTGATTGTGGGTAAAAATAGCGGTCATACTGATCTTGGTTTTTGCAAGAAGGAATTGTGAAATCATATTGATCGATTACATAAAAGAGCTAAAATATAATATTGTGATGCCTTTGCTTTAATGTGTTATTTGCAAGCCAAGCAGACAATGATTAATGTTTCCAAAGCTCACAACCTAAGAGGATGGAAGATATATGTTTGTCTAACGGTGCTAATTGACTTGATTTCCATTGCTATGAAGATGTTGCATTTGACACTACATATAAAAAGAACAAGTACAACAATCCTTTGGTTGTTATATTTTTGTTATAACCATTATGGTAAAGTTGTTATTTCTTTTCCTGTGCTTTGATTTTTTATGAGAAGACAGAAAGTTACAAATAGGTGTTGGAAACCTTTTAAGAATGTGTGTTTGGTAAGTCATGGTTTGTACTTCCAAATTCTTTTCATAGACATTGTTCTCCACACCTTCACCAAAATGCTTGTCAAAATGTTAACAAAGTTTTTAAAAGATTTCAAATCATTAATGTGTGACAATTGTAGTCTTGCTTATTTTTAAAATGAGTGGAAGGAAATTGTTGATAAATATGGAAATGCCAATAACAAGTTGGCTAAGTATGTTTATGAGAGGATGTGAATGTTGGTGAATACCTATATGTGGGAATATTTTTTTGTTAGCATTAGAAATATTTTTATACCACAATATTAATTATTGAGGAAGGTTGAAATGATATCATTGTAACTTTTATCAATTTTTGTATTGTTTAATATCTTTTAATTAAATGTGAATTTTTTAAAACTTAGCATTATATTGAAAGTTTTTTTACTTCTGTATTATATATATATATATATATATATATAATTTTATATTAATTTAAGATGATTTGATATCTCATTCTTGTAAAAAAAATTGACGTAATATATACATTTTAAAATATACAAAAATATGAATACTTTATTTACATTCAAATTATTTTTCAATTTTAACAAAATTTGATATAAACATACAAGGTAATATAAAGTTATAATTCAATAAATGTGTCGACGACAATCACATTTAATTAAAAATTATTGAGCGATGTAATTGTTGATAAAAGTTATACTAATTCGTTTGAATTCTGCTCTTAATTATTTATTATAAATCTGGAATATAATTTTTATATGTCAAAAAAACATTTATTTATAAAATAATTTATATTTAAAATATTTATTTATTATAAATTTTTGTTATGTAAAAATGAATATGTATCATATACATTACACAAATTAAAATACTAATTTAAAAAAAATGTTTTCTTTTCTAGATTTTTTATATATTCAAGTTATGCTTTTATATTTAAATAAACTTGTATACAATGCACAAATATTATGATTGGTTTATAACATAAACAAAGTTGCTTATTGATAATATTACATAATCAGAGTATGATTACACAATACATGTATGAAAAGCGACCACAATTGAAATGGGCTAAACATAGGTTGAAGATAAAAGCACCCAAAGGCAACTAGATGAAAGATTGAACTTCAATTTTACCTAGTATTATAAATATTAACATAAAAATAACATAAATTTCCTTCAATTTTGTGTGCTCCCGGTGGAGAAGGGTTATGCCAATGGAACACTACTTGTGCCAAACAACATAATTGTGGCCACTAGTTGATAATGTCCATTCCCTCCCGGATGGACACCATGAACCATTTCCAATCTTCACGCACACATTTCCCCCAATGATTGCAGAGTAAAGGTTGTGCTTGGCCTCCAGAATCTTAATAGGTGATCTACTATGAATACCTTCACGCTTGCGAACTTCAATCTGTGGTTTACATGTAAATTAGTTACCTAAAGTTCCTTTGTAAAAAAACATATGATCATGCTAGTAATTCTTTTACATACCAACTTCACAATCTGTTCTCGAATTGAGTCGCCCCAGTCATATAAGTGGTCATAAAAAACTGTTGGTATTCCCGGATGAGTCAATATGTATGCATACCCCTGCAAAATCCAAAAGTGAGAAGTACATAAAACAATTTATAAATATCAACGAACTCAATTTAATTAAAGTGAAATTATTTTGTGTATGAAGCTTAAAACCCGGGAAAAAAATGTTTATAAACTTGTTGTAAGTATTAATAGGCAAGTCATAACAACTTGGATCAGAACAATCTAGGAGGGAAAAAAACATTGTCATGTCTTCATGAAGAATCGATAAAGACCACAGACAAATTTAGTATTGTGTGCATGTTTGACCATTTTTTTTTATTAATGAAGAGTTGAATCAAAATTTTTAAAACGACATAAAAAAAAAAAATCTATTTCTTGCTACTACACTATTATTTATCTTTACTAATATTCCTTATTAATCTGTTTAAAGTCAATGATTTGATAAGTAGTTTTGAATGGTCAATGGGTAACATGCACTAGTATTCTTTATAAACGACTAATAAGGAGAATACAATTTAAATTTATTTTCATCTTCTTTATGTGTCGGGAAAAGAAAAATAGAAGACATAATGAACAATAGTTAAGTGTGGTATAGGAAATAGACAAATAAAATGAGAATATGTTACCAAACTATTAACATGCACATTAGATAAACTACACATATAGGATGATAATATTATTAAATTTAGAATTATGTCAATCAAGTAACTAAAAATTTTTATGATTATGCACGTTAAAATTGTAAATAATTATCCTATGGACAGAAAAGCATTAATTCAATAGTCACTAATGCCCTAAAAAAGAAGTACCTCCATAATATGGTCTCTCGGGAAAGGCCAATGACCCTGCAAAACAAAAGCATAAGTTCAAAATCTAGTAGATAAGTAGTATAGAAAGAAAAGTTTTATGCATAAAACATAAAACAAATAATATAATGTCAAAGGAAATGGAATCTTTGGATATTGGCGCCAACAAATAAGTATATAAGAAAAATATAAAAGGGAAAAATAACCATACAAAACTAGTTGGAATTATTACAATGGACTGAAAATTTTGTTCCCCAGCACGTAATTAGTGCAGTAGAAACAATTAAGAATAAGAAGGTCGTAATATAATCGAAGAAGTGTCTTGTCTTGGTGTATGATTGTAAGTAAGAGTTAAGTTGTACCTGAGTTGAGCCTGTATCATGATTTTCTATGAATGTGACGGATCTTGATGGCCACCACCCGACCACACCTGGGGGCTTCCCTTGAGGATCACGCAAACGCCAAAATTCTCCCTTTACAGCTTCCTAAATTAACATGGGTTAGCAAACATAAAAATAAAAAATAAATAAATAAAAAGTTTGTTGATTTTAGAGAGAAATATAATTAAATGAATCAAATATCAAATGCTCTAGAGAGTGTCACAGTTTATAGACTTGATTGTAGACTTGATAATAGGTAGAAATCAATTATTAAATGGTAAAAAAAAAAAAAAAAGTGGGGATTAATGAAAATCCTAAGTGCTTGGGAGGAAATGTAGCTTCCATTGGGATTTTTAAAACATTCACTAACATACTAACTACTATGCACACAATGTTGGGTACCTGGAGAATCCCTTTTGTTGTAAAGTCAAATGCAGTGGAAAGTTGTCCAGTGCCATCGATCCAATTGATTATTCGCTGCCTGTGGCTATCTGGAGAAAATGGACCATAAGTGAACAAAAGGCTAAACAATGATAAGAGTACAAAGTGAAAAATACAATTAATCAAAGTCACAATTTGCACAAAGCTAATTCACCACACCATGACAAAAACATACTTCAAAAATAAAAAGAGTACCGGTGAAAATTGCCAACATTAACTTTACATTATAATTTAATTTCCAAAGAGATCAATAGTTTGTCACTTGTTCCAAAAATAGAAACCTAGAAAGTTGCAACTACTTCTAAGTTGTTTTATACTAATTTTAATTTGGTTTTTAAATAAATAAACTCCAAACTTGAACTTCCAGTACAATTAGGTATGCCTCTCAACCAAAATTAGTAGATATGTAAATTATTACTTGCACCCCAAAAAAAAACAAAATAAATCATTCTGATGTGTCTGTCTGTCTCCATTTCCATGTCATATCAATAAAAAGTTTTAAAAAAACTTTTTTATAGGGGAAATAATAGAAATTTTAGAGTTTTTATTTTTTGTCTCATAAAATTTCTATATTTGGATTACCAATGTATTCAAATTTCAAAAAATGTGGATTTGAGTAATAATTATTTGCCAAGTAAAAATATACATTTAATCAATGTACCTTGGTTATAGTCCAATGAACCATTGTAATTGCATGTATCCCAATACTCTCCAACAGAGAATAAAGGTTTTGCTCCATCAATGTATTCTTTCACATATTTTGGTGAGAACCTATAAGTGACATATAATTTCAAGCATACAAAATATAACCATAAATCAAGAGGACATACTAAAAGGAAGCACAAAAAAACCCCAATACACATAAGGCATAACATGTCTTACCCTTTTGCAAAATCAAAACGAAAATCTTGAAAGCCTACATCATATCGTAACCAGCGAAGCCATCCTATGATATCTTTTCTTACAAAATCTTGAGTGTGGTCAATATTGGGAAATCCATGGAAAACGTCCCCTGTGCTTCGATTACCCTGAAATAAAACAAGACAAAGAAATAACAAGATGAACTTCTATGTAAGATTTAGATTAACAAATATTTATTGTATGCAACAAATGTTACCAATCCTCCGGTACATGATGTCACAGCACGTTCATCCCATGCTAATGGAATTCCATCAAAACGATTATATATCCCTCCATGTCCTTGGGTGGTGCCAACACGATGATTGATAACTATGTCAGCCATTGCTCTGACATTGTATTGCTTCATCTTTTGAAGTAAAGCTTTTAACTGACGCTCAGAACCATATTTACTATCAAGAGAGTAAAGGTTTTGTGGAGTGTAACCTGCACAAAATGGGGCAAGACAAAAATATTATGACATTTGAAGAGAAATATATATAAAACTCTTTGATCATATAATTTTATGTAGTCTATCTAAGATTATATATATAACCTTCAGGTGCAAATGATTGAGTTGGTGGTGGCAACCACACTGAAGTGAATCCAGCTTTAGCTATGTCACCAACTTTGCCTTCTAAATTATTCCACCAATTGTATCTGTGAGACTCCCAGTTGAATGCCTACAAAGATTTATTTTTAATGTTAACTCTATTTCATGAAAAGTTCTTTACCAAATGCTTCAATAAAGAGAAAAGAAGTGAAGTTCAGCCCATTCCCAATTTGTTTTTAAAGTAACAAAATTAGGTGTGTTTGCATTCATATCTACATGATTTTTCACGTTCAATTTGAAGTGATAAATACTAATTTCTACTTAAATAAAAAAAATTATATTTAAAAATTGATACAACTACACGCTATCATGACCATCATAACACAACCTTGTCAAGAAAAGTTTTGTATTATGAATAGGGAACTAAGCAAGTAAGGCTAAAACAGAGTCATTAAAATTCACCTGAAGAAGTATTTCTTTTCCTTCACGCAGAATTGCACCTGGTCACGATATTAGAACATCAACAGAGGCGCTATTAAAATATAACATTACCAGAGCAACGATAAATGGTTTTTCAAAGTACAACACATAGAAACAAGTCCTCTAATTAGAACAAGGTATTCAATATTCAAGCATTGAAATTTCTAAACTAATAATAGGAGTAGTTAGTTGATGTCATAGTTTATGCTAAAATTATATCTAAAACATATTTCTGCACACATACACTAAGGATTGTGCAGGGAAAATGATGTGGTTTAACCATTGAAATTCTCGATTTTTTAAGAGTCAAAAGCATACCGTGATCATTTCTTTGATTAGTTTGATCACCTTCCTGCTCGTCAATCAAGAACAAAAAAGTAAGGACATAAATATTATTAAAAATATAAATAAAAAAAAAAGGATAGAAAGAGAATGAAGATAATTTGGTGCATACGCTGCTTAAGTATCCCATATTTAACAAAGATTGTGAATATCGTAAATTGGTAATTGATTAAGGAATTGACTCGAACCGAAGTAACCTGCATGATCAAAAAGAAAAAAGTAAATAAATACAAGGACTATTGAATTTCAAAAATAAAAAATAAAAAGAGGCCCAGATAAGAGAGGAGAGAAATGTAGCATATTGATTTTTTTTTTTATATATTTTTTATGCATCAAACTCTCAATGACATGTTTAGAATTCTTAAATCAAAATTCCTATCCACTTAATAGTTAGCCAAAATTTAATAATATTTAATTTGATCTAGGATAACACACATAATATGTTTCAGTGTTATCCAAAATATTATTTTGAAAAATTATTATTATATAGTTCATATAATAAATGAATAGATTGTCAATAAATAAATATAAAATAAATTTTTATCTATAAATTTTTAACTTTTAGTTCAATAGATTTTGCTTAATAATTAGAAATCCAAGATGTAAAAAACTTAGCGAGCCATATCTTTTGCCCTGAGGAAAGAATTATTATTGTCTAAATGACTCAATACATATAAGAGAAATTGTTAATTTAACAAAATCTAGGGAGCAATTATCAATGATTGAGATATAGACAAGTGAAACTAACATAATATTAAAGAAAATTAACTTGATCTGAGTCCAGATAAGTGGTTGGAAAAACATTATGAATTTTAGAGCCGTTTAGCTAAATAATTAGCAACACAATCGAGACATCATATTGAGAGAATCAATACAAATGAAAATTATTAACTCGATCGATAAGAATGATAATTAATCAATTCTCAATAATTAAAAATGATTATTAAGAGAATACTTGATTACACCACCATTCAAATCATGTGGCGAGGTTCTTATATTATAAATATATGAAGAATGTAACTATTTAAAATCAAATTTATTGATTTGTAAATGTAAAATAGGCGTTTAAACAATTTTAATAAGTCAAATCAAACATTTAAAAAGATTATATTATATTTATAAAAAAAATTATATTAAATAATAAATCAGATTTAAATTTTAATTTTATAAAATAAATTTGACATGTATATTCAAAATTTTAAAAATAACTCATTCTCTTTTCTACTAACAACCGAAAATTTTAAAAATAAAACTAATCATCAAGCCGATTAGGAGTTAATTCGATAAATCACTCTATTAAATCGCATAACCCAATCATTATTAATTAAAAAATCTTGTCATATATTTTATTAAATTTTATATCATGTCTTAAAGAAGTCTTACAAAAATTATAATCAATATAACATTACCCGAATAACAAATTATAGATCAACTAATAATATACAATTAATTATATAAAATTAAAAATATATAAATTATTTAAGTCAATTATATAACACATATTGATTTAATGATTGTTAAGATATTAAATAATCAAATTCATTTGATTCGAAGTCCTATTCTATCCAAAAATTACCTTTCTTTTTGTTTTTATAAAGAAACGCATAAAAAATACTTTATTATAAAAAATTAATTAAAAGCACCATATACTAGTGACTGTTAATAAAATATAATTAAGTATGTATAAATATATATAATATTTATGACTTGATTAATAATAAATTATATGGTGTAGTAGTCATGCATGCACTTTAGATCCATCAAACATAAGACTCTTACAACTGGCTACCCTTAACGTAACACTCTCACAATTGGATATCAATACCCTTCATCTACACCTCAACAGTGGTCCTTACCTTCATTCTGCAATATACCAAACTATATATAACTTCCCATTCATAGACACACATGCTCTCATAACATGGTCCCCACACATCAAACCCATCATCATTTCGCTTGTGTCTGTGTGTTAACCTTAAAAAACAATTCTTCAACATTTATTCTTTTTTTAATTTCATTATTAATATTTAAATTATGTATATAGAGACATAATTATTATCCTATAATGATTAAACTGAAAAATTATCATTTGAATTTATTATTTATTATAGTTTATAATAAAATTGTCTTATAGTTATTGAAAGTTTCATAATATATAGTATATCATATTTTATTGCAAAATCAATGTTTTTCTATAATTTTAAAATTAGAACAAGATAAGAAAATAATTGTTGGATATTGGTTCTTTTAAATGTCATCAGTTTTTTCTGTTAGCAGTTACCTTTTAGTTGTAATGACTATAAAAGGCTATTATTTTAGACAGAGTGACTATAAAAGGCTCTGTTGCATAGTCTTCAATAGTGAATTCCAAATTTTGTTTTACTCTTAGTGAGGAAATCTATAACTGAGTGCAGAGAGATTGTACTAAGATCATAATTTTATATCAATTAAATGGTTGCTGTAAATGTAGACTAGAGCACATTGCTCTAGCTAATTGAATCACCTAAAACTCTGATGTTGTTTTTCCTATTCTTCTTACTTTCTTGATCTGTTCTTGCTACTTTTAATCTTTTATTTCTATAGGAGCAAGGTTTTGTGGTGGTTTCTCTTCTTAGCTTAAGAATGATTTTCTTCTTTCACAAAGGCTGGATATTGCGAGAGATGAGACAAGCATGGTGGCGTTTGATTTTCAATCAAATCATGACAAAAGACCATCATCAACCAAATAAACTATTCTTACAAACATAATTAACTCCTCAACTACTAACATAATTTATACAACACAAAATAGGATGATCATTAATATATATAGAAGACTGAACAAGTTTAATAGCAAAATAAATAAACTACAGAGATTTAGTGGCCAAATCTCTCCCACTCTCATACTTTATAAATACAACACAAACTTTTGATCAATGAAATAAAGAGGTAAATTCCCACTCTCATACTTACCTCAACGTGATCTGATCTTCTGATCTTGGATATGGAAATTGAAAAGAAGGAAACCGAACAACAACACCAAAAGCTAGATCTTTCCGGCTTCTAACTAGTACGAAGTTTGTGAATTTTGTGTTTTAAATGAAAAGTGAGAGGAGAGGGAACAAGAGCTGTCGTGCAGCAGAGAAAATGAGAGTGAATGAAGAATTGTTTGACACTATATGGTCTTTTTATAGTAACTTGTGTGGTTGGAATATTTGAAAAGATAATATAAATAAATTTTAAAACTTTGATATTATCCAATTTAAGAAAAAATTGGATGCCAAGTTTTCAAACTTGCAAGGAAAGTAAGCAGGGATTTATCCATTTTTTTTTATAATTGAGGAGGAAATTAATTAATTAAAACAAAATTTAATTATAATAAATAAGTAATTGACTTTTTAATAGTGAAACTGTACCTTACCAGGGTTGTCCCGAGGAAGCCCACTCCACAACCAGATTTTAATTTTTCATATAATTATTTTATTTAAAATACTAATTAATTACCCAATAAATCAATTTTATGCTAAATAAATACCATTTTCAAAAAGTTTACCTTCAAATAATTTTTCCTGATTAAAATAGAATTATTATAATTATTTAAAATTTTCAAAATATTTTTAGGCCAAAAAATCTTTGATTGGACTTATACAGTCAATTAGGGGTTTAGGGTTTAAATATAGTTAACTTTTCTGTGCATATTTATAACTTAAACATGAAATTTAAATACTCATTTCCAATTTTATTATTATAGTTTCAGGGAAGTATGGACTATATTTTTTTTTTAATTTCTCGGTCTCTGAATCAGAAATATTAAAATTTTGACAGAGGAATGTTAATTATTCTAAAATCAATTGTATATTTACAATTTATGAATTGCTATCCAGACTATGTAACATATATTGAATAAAGACAAAACAATAAGCAGAAATATAGATTTTACAATATATCCATTTCAATTCTAGACGCTTCATTCGGCTTCTACAGTGAAATAATTTGGTAACATACTTTTCAGTTTAGTCATCGTATATGTGTATATTTACACGTATCAACATCCTTTCTATTCCTTTTTTTTTTTTTTTTTTTTTTCAATGACAAGTCTACTTTTCACTCTTCAATCCAATTGTTTCACTATAATGAGAGATATATACTTGTAAAAAGTATTTCGACTATTTAAATAAATATTTTACTTAAAATAATAAATGTAAATTTATTGTAAATAGTAAATTTATTTCAAAATGTGAAATTATTTATATTAATCCAAATTTTAATGGATCTAAGCTAGAATTATCAATTAAATAATACATTAATAATCTACTTTGTATTATGATTAAACCTTAACCTTAACTAGTGAAATGGGTGTTTGCGGCACATATTTTCAATAATGCCTCCAGGAGAGCTTCATCTCTTCCTGTAAGAACTTTAAAACTAGGTTCTCTAGAGTGACTATTAGGTAATTATTTTGTTTTTTTGGGAGAATAATAGGAGCTTATTCCCAATTTACTTGACACGTGTTCGTCAAGACTATAGCTCACTGTCAAGGGATGACCTATTGACTAAAAAAATCTTTAATGAGGTTACTTATAAGCAAACTTTTGTATCACATCACTGTCATATTAGCTCTGATTCACTTTATGGATTGCTTAAATTTTAGTAAAGTTGCTTGTAGAAGCGACTTTGTTAAAATTTAAGCAATTCATAAAATAGGCCAGAACTGATATGACAGTAATGTAGTATAGGGAGTTGCTTATAAGCAACCCCATTACAAATGCTCTAAGGAAAAGATCAGGCTCGATCTATATTTGAAACTGCCTCAACACCTACCTCTAAGGCACCTCTTCAATTTGATTGAGTCGTTGTAGATCAAACATGTAATAGGTAAACTATTGTTCTGTTAATGTTATGCAAGTGAAAATCCTATTCGTTTGCAGGAATAATGGTTAACAAGGGAAAGGATGAGAACATCCAGAACCTACTTGCTAATTGAACATCCGAAACTTACTTGCTAACTAAACACAACAAACCTTCAATGACATGATACTACCAATAGGTAGATCGACAACAATGTTAGCACATTCTTTCTAATTCTCGATTAAAATTTATTAAAAATCATAAATTTTGTAATTTTCTTATATCATTTAACAAGTATTTTATGATATAATAATGAGAGAATTCACTAGAATTTGTAATTTTTAATTAATAATAAAAATATTAATAAAAAGTGTTAGAAATTTATGGTTTCTTTTATTCTTATTTAAAAAAATAAAATTAAAATAAGAAATAATTTAGATGAGTTTGCAAAATTTCATTGGAGGAGAAGTGCTGGGGAAGGCAGAGAGACGTGACCCGCTGCCTTTTGTCACTCAATGATGGGCTGAACAAGTTGAAGGTTACGTTATCCTTCCTTTGTTTATCTCTTAATAATGTTTTTTTATTTTGTTGGTGCCACGTTCATAGTTATCAAATATACAGGGGAGAAGGAAATGAAAGAAGGGATCATAGTTTTTCTCTCTTTCAAATACATCCCATTGTTTATGCAGTTGTATATATATACACGTGTTAAAATGTGGATAATATAACTAACATGTTAAAATATGGATAATGTAAGTAAAATCTTTTATAAAATATAAAAAAAAAAAAATTGATCTTATTAATATTAAAATAATATTTAATTATCAGAAACTACATTTTATCAAATCATATTAATCTTTGATCATTATATTAACTTTTGATTATCAATTTTAGAACATTATATTAAACGAATTTTTAATTGTGAGTTTTAAAATATTGCATTAGGCGTGAAACGTGTAGATGATACGTTGGTGCCTCGTGTAAAATACTAAAATGGCGATGCCCATGCCTAATGTTGTCGATGTGGGATTTCAAGGGGCCGACCATAGAAGTCCAATATGGTGTGAGAGTTCTGCAACATCTATTTATGATGTTCTATCTTTGTCGCCCACAAAATAAAATATTCCATCCTTTAAAGGGCAGAGACGTGTGAAGAAAATTTAGAACCAAGATAAAAGGTTCTAAAAGACAATATAATACTAATAATAGTTTTTTTTTTTTTTTGAGTTGCAAAATCATTTAATAATAATTTTTAAAAATTATATTAACCTTCTCTCTTTTTCTTTACTTTTTCAAAATAAGAGTCATATTTTTTTTTATTTTATTTATATTACTACAATTCTATAAAATATAAAAATAAAATAAATGAATAGTAAAAGATAAATAAGAGAAAATGATGAAATAATAGATTTTTTTCATTTTTAATATTATCTAGTACAATAATTTAATAACAATTATTAACTTTAACAATCTACTTCAAGGTTTCAAAACAGAGCCTGTTGAGAAATTTTGGAACCTAAGAGAAAAAATTTTAAAAACAGTTAAAATAATACTAAACACTCAACATTACTAATTTATGTCAATATATATCTATATATATAGAGAGATAATTTTGGAGTCTAAGGAAACTATTTAAAAAATTTAATATATTATTAAACATTAATTTATATATTTAATTTTTTGAGTTGACAAATTATTTACTAATGATTTTTTTAAAATATTAATCTTCTCAAAATAAATATGAAAAAAATGATGAAATAATAAAAGTTGAAAATGAAAAGAATTACATTTTAATGTGATCGACTGCAATAATTTGATATCAATTACCAACTTTAACAATTTGCCAACTTTGACAATTTGCTTCAAAAGAATATGAAGATGAGATGGGAAAAAAGATAAGAAAAAAATAATATGAAAATTTGAAGCAAAAATATTAAATTTGATGAGATAGTATAAAATTTTTCACAATAATAAAGAATGGACATTAAACTCTTAAAATATAAAATAAAAATGTATTTTAGGTTGATGATATGATATTCTTTTAAATATTTATTTATCATGATATAATAATTTAAACTTAAGTCATTAGATATTATTATTCCAATCAAATTCAATAAAAACAACAAATAATAAAGGATCTCCATGGTGCTGGAGATCTGCTTTACATTGAACTGTTGAGTACAAAAAAAGTATATAATTAGTGTACTTTTACACTATTATTTATGGAAAGTTTATCATTTATGATAAATTATTAACTTTATAATAAATAATTAAAATACAATATCAATAGTAATATATGATTAGTTCATAATATAAGAACATTTTTAATAGTAATTTTTATAAGTAATTTATTAAGGTTCATAATTTATTTTAAATGAGATTCATCATGTTACAATATTTTTAAGTAATTCATATTTTTTTCTTACAAATTTTACTCTAATAATGAGATCTTATAAACAATCCATATTTTTTATAATTTTTTTATTTACAGTTCATTTGTTAATAAATTAAAAAATAATGTAATTATTATATATTATTTAATTAATTAAACACAATAAATTATATTTTAACATGTAAAAAATTAATAATAAGATTTACACAATTAATTTAATATATATTAAAAATTAAACGAAAAAAAATTATATAACTATGGAAAACATATAATAATGATAGATGATTAATGTTTGATTCTAGGTGATGAATAGTTAATGATATATGACTTTTTATTTTTATAGGAATGATTTGTTTTCTAAATAATGTTACTTATTTAAGAATCATCATTTATTTTTTAAGTAACTTTTATGTCATATCATCACATTTCAGTAAAAATTATTAATAAAAACTATTGTTTATTAACAAAATACATGACAAACACTCTCCATTGAAAATGTTGTAAAACTAATTTATATTGTATGTCGGGTCATGACGGTTAAACTCATTATTTATCACTTTTTTTTTCTAAACAAAGACAATACTATAAAGGATAAATACAACACAAGATGTGTATGAGAAAAGTTAAAAGTTTACAGAATATAAAATTATGACTTAATCATCTATATATTATTACTGTAAAAAAATTTATACTGACAACTAATCATATTTTTTAATAATATTATATCATTTATTTATTTAATAAATTAAAAATAAAATAAAATAATTTAAAAAATATAATTGATTACTAATATAAAATAACTTTACATTAATAGTGTGCATGAATAATTAACTCTAAAACTATATAGCACCGTCTTTCAAGTAAGAAAAACAAATGATATCACCAACTCATGACTTCCTTACACAGACCTAACTTTAACCTGGAATATTGCACATGGTATTGCTATGAGCCTTTTGGAATAGAAGGGGATGATCTATCACCTCCATAATATGGTCTTTCGGGAAAGGCCAATGACCCTGCAAAACAAAAGCATAAGTTCAAAATCTAGTAGATAAGTAGTAGAAAGAAAAGTTTTATGCACAAAACATAAAACAAATAATATAATGTCAAAAGAAATGGAATCTTTGGATATTGGGGCCAACAAATAATTATATAAGAAAAATATAAAAGGGAAAAATAACAATACAAAACTAGTTGGAATTATTACAAAATGTACTGAAAATTTTGTTCCCCAGCACGTAATTAGTGCAGTAGAAACAATTAAGAATAAAAAGGTCGTAATATAATCGAAGAAGTGTCTTGTCTTGGTGTACCATTGTAAGTAAGAGTTAAGTTGTACCTGAGTTGAGCCTGTATCATGATTTTCTATGAATGTGACGGATCTTGATGGCCACCACCCGACCACACCCGGGGGCTTCCCTTGAGGATCACGCAAACGCCAAAATTCTCCCTTTACAGCTTCCTACAAATTAAGAATAAGGTTATGGTGAGAAATCTAATTAAATGAATTGAATATCAGATGCAGCCGAGAGTGTCATGGTTTGTATACTTGATAATAAGTATCGATCGATTTATTGAATGGTAAAATAATGAAGGGATTAACAAAATCTTAAGTGTCTAGAAAGATATCTAGCTACTATTGGCAATTTCAAACATTTACTGAATACCAACTATATTGAGCACAAAATATTGGGTACCTGGAGAATTCCCTTTGTTGTAAAGTCAAATGCAGCTGAAAGTTGTCCAGTTCCATCAATCCAATTGACTATTCGTTGCCTATGGCTATCTGTAGAAAATAGACAATAAGGTAGCTAAGGTTAAACAATAATAAGAATACAAAGTGTAAAATACAAATATTCAAGGTCACACTTTGCAAAAAGTTAATCCACTACACCTTTACCGAAATTGAAAAATTTATTTATAAGTTTCTATTACTGCATTATATATATATTGGGGTAGTAAGAATGTCACATCAGGAACAGACATGTCCAAAAATTCTACATAACTGAACGTTATGTTAAAGTGAGATATTTTATATTGCAATTATTCTAATTTGACAACTTATAAGTCTAAATATTACATATTGTTACAAAATAAATTTGTTTACTAAGTTTCTTTTCAAATTTATATAAATTTAATTTAATTTAACTATGATATATAATTAAAGTAGTGTAACTTTAATTTTAAATTAGGTGAAATATTCAATTTTAAATTGTGACCTCATTGTGTGATCCACTAATTTTTCAATAAATATTAATTATTAATAAAAATGATAAATATTTTGTATGGTTATAAAAAAAGTTATTTTTAGAAATTTGTATTTATGGAGATTCTTTATTTAAGGAGAGCATTTTAATAGATAATTTTTTAAAAAGAGTGCTTTCAAAAAAAAAATCTTAACCTCTAATCCCTATTTATTATTTTAAATTTTATTTTGAAATTAAATTTCAATATATATTTCAAAAATATCAATGATTAAAAATAGTTTATATCACAATATAAATATTTATTATAAATATAGAATGTAATTTATATGTTAAAAATATTTATTTATTATAAATTTTAATTATAATATAAATTATATTTTCAAAAATATTTATTTATTATAAAAATTATATAAAAATGAATATTTATTATGTATGTTGCATATAAAATGTGATTAAAGACAAGCACACACCTTACCACGATAACAATAGTTGGACAAAGTCCAAATATCGAACCTAAAAAATTAGGTTCAAGCAATTGCCAACTTAGTTGCAATTTTTAGTAGTTTGAAGAAGTAGAATTTGATTTGAGATTATTCACACTACAAGAAAATCACATATTAACAATCACATATTAATGAAGGATGATTCTCTCTTTATTTCGTCTCTATCCCCTTGTTAACCATATTTGTAAGGGTTAGTGAAAGAATAACGAGATAACCTTCTCTCACTAATAGGGATGGCAAAAATATCTGCACCCACAAGTATCTGTGGATAAAATATGCTACGAATAATAAATAGATAGACTAATTGGGTATCCGCTGATAATAGGGATGGATAATTTTTTACCCGTTTATAAATGGGGCGGGGGCGGGTATGATGATATCTATACCCGCGGGTACCCGTTTAATAATATTCATTAAATATCTTAATTATCCTTGTACCACATAACCCTGAAACTACACTCTCTCATCTTATTTTCTTTCCATAGAAATTATGTTGGATATAATTTGATTAATTTTCTAGCTTTGATATTGGACCAATAAGTTTTATATATTTTAAATTGTTTACTGTCGTTTGGAATTATGAGATTGAATTATTGTAGCTTTGTGATATGAGACTTTCACTTACTTGTGCGAGATTGATGTATTTTAAGTTATTGATTATCTTGCATTTTTATTATTATTTCAACAAAATTAACGTTAAATATAAGTTTAAAATTAACATTAAATTTTTATTTTTAATATTTCAATGACATTAAATATAAACTTAAAATTATTTGTAATATAATTTTTTTAATTTTTAAAAAAAATTATAAATATCCATTGATATTCGTTAGTATTCAAGAAATTCATGGCTACCCGCGTGGATATGGGATGGGTATGAAGCCAATTTTCATTCAGCAAGGCGGGGACGGGTTTACTATTACCGCCCCATGGGACCCCATTGTCATCCCTACTCACTAAATACAGATAGCTAATAGGTGAGAAAATTTATCCCACACTAATCAGTAGTAAATCTCGTCATGAATCTCCCCGTTACGTTTCTCATTAATAGTATTAAAAATGTTTAATGTGTCCCTCGTTATTAGTGGTCAAGCTTTCTCGCTATTCTCTAGCTAATGGCTCGCAAAATATCCCTCCCTAATATATGTAGTTATTCCCTCGTAGTTTTATCCCTCGCAAATCTCTCTTTATTATCTCGTTACATTTTCCTAACTATTCCCTTGTTGTTCCCTCAATAAGTATCTTTTCCAAATTTGCCTCCATGCCTTTGCTAGTATTTGGACATGTCTCTCACTATTAAGTCGTTAATTCCTCACTAATTTCTCGTCATTTTGTTGCAATTTTATTTTTTGTATTCAATTATTCTACATTACTAGAATTCTTCATACTAAAACTTTTTATTAAGTTTTGATATTAAAATTGTAATACCTATATTTTGCATATCAAATATATTTTGTATCAGCAACTTGCATCAAATAAAATAAAAATATTAAATGTCAACTAAAACAATGTTAAATTACCAACATAATAAAATACTCAATGTCATGTAACATAATAAAAATATTCAATATCAACAAGCACTTTATCTTGTTCGTAATTACTAATAAATTAAATTCACATATTAATTTACTATTAAATATTTAAACTTTATCTTGTTTTAATTTTACTAAAACTTTTACAATTTCTTTTGTCAGAAAATAAATTTTAATTTCTTCAACTTTTCGAGGAAGTTGTGAGGGAAATATACCCTCGTTAAAATAAATTTATTTTTCTTTCACTTTTTGCAAGGAGATTGTGAGACAATAATTCTCTTGCTAAAATAAATTTAATTTTGTCAAATTTGTGAGGGAATGCAAGAGATGCTTTTTCTCGCTAAATAAACTTTTATATTTCTACTTTTGTAAAGGATTGGTGAGAGAAATATTCTCTCGCTAAATTAAGTTTTATAATTTTAATTAGATGCATTAACGACCAAAATATGTTCTCACTAAAATAAACTTTATTTTCTTTAAGTTTATGAGGGAAATTTTTCCTTGCAAAAGAAAATTCAATATTTTAGGCTTTTTGCGAAGAACTAGTGAGGAAATTTGTTGCTCGCTAATTATTTGTGAGTGCTTAGTGACAAAATTTGTAGTCCTAGAAAATATTTTGCTAATTAGCTTGCACTTTAAGAGATTATTTTGGTCATGAATCCTTTGCTTTTTAGCAAAGGAATGGTTAGAAAAAAAATTTCCTCACTAATTAACAATTTTCTTATAGTGTAAAAGAATTTAAAAGAAGAATCTAAGAAAATGTTATTAAGATTCAAAGATAAAAACTCTTGAGTTGTGACATTGTTGCTAGTCTCCTCAATATGAAATTCATAAATTATAAAACAATATTATCAATTTACTTCTAAAATTGTTGACAAGCATAAACACACATAAGTGAATTAATAAATTAATTCAATTGAAAATTAAGGAAAAAAGGTTGATCATGCAAATTTCACAATTTTGATTATTTTAGAGTTCTGCTAATTAAAAATGTTTGATCATACACTTTTAATTAACTAAGATAAAAGTATAAAACACTAAAACAATGCGACAATTAAAACAAATAATTCATTAATTCATCATTGGGGGTTCTCTAGGAAAAATTACATCTCAACCCTAGAATAAGGAAACTAGCTAGACATGATAGGCAAACAACCCAACATATTGTTAGAATCCATTAAACAAAGGGAAAAGAATTAATTGTAAATAAAAGAATCATTTTTTGGAGGGTTTGACTTTTAGTCTCTTAAATAATCTCCACAATGAATACAAAGAGAAAAACATGAGAAACTAAAGCTAAAAACTAAATGATAAAAACATGGTATGGACATCTATATTCATAGTAACAAATTATAGCAAACTACTAAGCATCGTCTTGCATCTCAACAAGCATAATTGTGCTTTATAGCTAAGGGTATGCAACTTCTTCATCAACAAAAGCATATTTATTTAGACCAAAGGGAAACATGGACATGTTTCATCAATAGCATGGGTGTGCTTTCCAAACTAGAGATGCTCCAAAAGTGAAGCACGATTGTGCATAATAACAAGCATGATGCTTTATAGCATGAGTGTGCTTCATTCAATAAGGTTGTGCTTCCTCTTGAAGCACGATTGTGCTTCAAGTAACCATGATTGTACATAGCTTCAAAGTTCATAAATACTCCATTTTATATCCTGTACTACCTAACTCGGACAAAACACTTACCTCAAACTTATGGCTAGCTTAGGGCTAAATAGCCATATGACAACACTAACAACACACTAATGACAACATTAGTACCACACTAATGATGACATTAATACCACACTCCCAAGAATCTCGAAATACAATAAACAAGGAAACAATATCTCCATGCAATAAATCTCGTACACGATCACAAAGATACCCTATAACTAAAACACATGATCATCTCCTTAAATTACGGAATCAACATACATATAGGAGGCATCAGGTATTATTCTAACTTTACATAATTATTAACCTAGATTCTCCTTTAACTTAAGCGTTAGAGTATCTTTGCAAGTCCCCCCTACTGTGAACATTGGAGTAGCTAGGACGTCGTCTCTATCGTTGGAACACTTGGGAGATTCTAGTAAGAACATTTGGTTCCCACCATAGGGCCGAAGTGAAACTATCCTTTGGCCACACATGGTCTTCACCCAAAAATAAATGATGAACAACGTGGCAAGAACCTCTGTAATCAATGGTGATGCAATTCCTAGGAGTATCGTACAACACCACCATCTTTGTTATCAAAATTATCTCTATAGTTTCCCTGATTCCACCAGAGAACTCTACACCAATTGTTGCTGCTACAACACCACCATCAAATGTTGAGTTATTACATCGGATGGACGCCCTACACAAGCATAATGAAGAAGTCCTAACTACCATTGCATGCTGCGAGCAGGAGCTCCAAACCCTATGCTAGGAATGCAATAATACCCTCTATGAAACCTACATCTCCATAATCAAAGACTATATTCCTTCTAGATCAACACAGAACACACCTAATATGCTGGAAGATTTACAAGCAGTGGGCACACTAGTTCTTCATGCAAGAGGCACCTAAAAACCATCAACAATGTTACTACCTCATGCGATA